TGTTGGAATCACCAAACAAAGACTTTAAATTAGCCCCTTTAAATACGGTCAAAAGAGAGGCGCCTGGGTGGCTCAGTCGGTTGAGGGTCTGACTTCAGCTCAGGTCATGATCTCACAGTTCGTGAGTTCGAGCCCCACATCAGGCTCTGTGCTGACAGCTCGGAGCCTGGAGCCTGCTTCGGATTCTGTGTCTCCCTCTCTCTCTGCCCTTACCTCACTCATGGTCTGTCTGTCTGTCTCTCTCTCAAAAATAAATAAACATAAAAAAAATTTTAATATGGTCAAAAGACTGAAGGAAACCATATCTGAAGAGCTAAAGTATGAGAACGGTATCTCACCAAGTAGAAAGTACCAATACAGACACAGAAATTATTTTTTTAGAAAAGAACAAAATAGAAATTCTGGAGTTGAGAATATGATACCAGAAATGAAAACATCACTAGAGGAGCTCAACAGATTGGGGTGGGCTAAAGAAAGAATCTGCAGACTTGAAGATAAATGAGTTGAGATTACCCAGTCCGAGTAACAGAAAATAGGATCAAGAAAAGCTCACAGAGCCTCAGAGACCTGTGGGGTGGACCAAATACGCACAATGAGAGGTCCAGAGGGAGTGGACAGACACGACAATGTCTGAAGAAATGGCAAAATTTCCCACATTTGATGATGAGGATAAATTCAAAGACACATGGCAAACAGTCAAAAGAGAATCCTGGAAACAGCAGAAGAAACGTGCTTTATATAAAGAAGCCTCAAGACTAAAAGCAGATTCCTTGTCAGAAACCATGGAGGTCAGAAGGCTAAAAGATGAAATACTCTAAGTGTTGACAGAGAAGGACTGCCAGTTAGGAATTTTATACACTGCAACTCTATCCTTCAAAAATGAAGGACAGATTAATACATCCCCAGATACACAAAAACAGAGACTTCATCACTAGCAGACCTGTCTTACAGAAAATGCTAAAGGGAGTCCTTCCAGATGAAAGGATGGGATACTAGACAGTAACTCAAATCCACAGTTGTCATCAAGAGCACCACTAGATGCAGAAAAAGAATTTTATAAAATCCACCACCTTTCGTAATAAAAACCCTCCAGAGAGTAGGAAGAGAAGGGAACTTACTTGACCTGATAAATGGCCTCTAGTAAAACCCACGGCTACCAGCACATGTAATGATGAGACGCTGAAAACTCTTTCAAGATCAGGAACCAGAGAAGGATGTCCATTCTCACTGATGAATGGAATCAGTGAGTTTCTAGCCAGGGCAATTAAGCAAGAAAGTGAAATGAAACCAACTGTATTGAAAGAAAGAAAGAAGTGAAATGATCTCTATTTGCAGATGATACACTCTTATATCTAGAAGATCCTAAGTAACCAACTAAAAATGGGAAGTCATAAATGAACCCAAAAGGTTGCAGGATACAAGATCAACATACAAAAGTCAATTATATTTCTGTATTCTAGCAAACTTTCGATTTTCCTGTGTATATTCCTAGGGTTCTATATACAATCTGAAAACCAAACTAGGGAGACATATCCATTTACAACAACATCAGAGAGAATAAGATGCTTAGGAATAAATGTAACAAAAGAAACACAACTCGAAACTATAAAATACTGTTGAAAGAAAAGATCTAAATAAGTGGAAAGACATCCTTGTTCATGGATCAAAATTAACATTATTAAAATGGTAATACCCACCCCCAAGTTATCTATAGATTCAACACAAATATCCCCATCAAAATGTCAGATGGCATTTTTTTCCAGAAATTGACAAGCTGATCCTAAATTAATATGGAAATACGAAGAATCCACAGTAACCAAAACAACCTTTAAAAAGAACAAAGTTGGAAGACTCATGCTTTTCAATTTCAACATTTATTATAAAGCTACATTAATCAAAATGGTGTGATACCGGCTTAGTGGAATAAAACAATAGTCCAGAAATAAACCCTCACATTTACGGGCAATTGATTTTCAACAAGGATGCCAAAGCAATTCAACGGGGGAAAGAATGGTCTTTTCAACAAATGATGCTGGGACACCTGGATATCTGTATGCAAAAGAATGAAGTTGGATCCCTGCCTCACAACACGTAAAAAAAATTAAAACTCAAAATGGACCAGAAACATGGAGGCATAAGCTAAAACTATAAACTTCTTAGAAAATACCAGAGATGTAAATCTTTGTGACCTTGGATTAGACAATAGTTTCTTAGCTAGGACACCAAAAGCACAAACAGCCAAAGAACAAACAAACTAAGCATCGTCAAAACTAAGAAAGTTTGTGCTTCAAAGAGGCACTATCAAGAAGGTAAAATGACCAAACAGATTGGGAGGAAGTAGGTGCAAATCACGTATCTGTTAAGGGTCTACTATCCAGAATATACAAAGAGCTCTTACAACCCCACAATAAACAATCAACCCAGTTAAAAATCGGACAAGGAGTCTGAATGGACTTTTCTTCAGAGAAGATATACAAATGGCCATAATAATGCATATGCAAACACACTCACCATGGTACTCATCAGGAAAACACCAATGAAAACCCCAGTGACCTACAACTCCACATCTATCATGATGGCTATAATCAAAAAGAAAGACAACTAGTGCCGGCGAGGATGGGGAGAAACTGGAATCCTCGCGTACTGCTCTTGAGACTATCAAACAGTGCAGCAATTGGGAAAGTAGTTTGGCAGTTCCTTAACAAATTTTTAAATATAGTTAACGTATGATACAGCAATTTTGGTTCTAGGTAAACACACAAGGGAAGTGGAAACAGGTTCATGCAAAAACCTACACACAAATGTTCATAGTGGCATTATCTGTAATAGCTAAAAAGTGTAAGCCACCCAAATGTCCATTAAGTGATACAGGGGTAAACGAAATGTGACATGTCCATATACCGGAATGTTATTCAACCATACAAAAGCATAAAATTCTGACTACAACACGGATGTGTTTTGAAAACATTGTGTGAAAGAAGCCAGATACACAAGGCACACACTGTAGGATTCCATTAATAGGAAATGTCTAGAAGAGGAAAACCCATAGAGGCCAATCAGTGGTTCCCGGGGGTTGGAGGTGGGGTGGGGGGACGGGGAATGGGGATTGTCCAGTTGATGAGTACAGGGTTTCTTCTGGGGATAATAAAAATGCTCTGGACGGGATAGTGGGGATTCAACTCTGTGAATATACCAAAAGCCAACGAACTGTGTACTTTAAAAGGGTAAATTTTATAGGAATTTGGTCTCAGCAAAGATAACAACCAAAAAAGAGATAACTTCCAGTTGTTTCTATCTACAGGTTCAGGGGAAGGTGTGGGATCCTAGAGATGTCTGGGTCTCCCAGAGGCAGAGATCAGTAGTGAGGGTCTGGACCCAAGTCTTCCCAAGTCAAGATCTGGAAGATACATTGTCATCAGGAAATCTTCCCAGCTATTGATGGTGTTTCTCATGGCCTCTGACTGCGCCTCTTTCTGAGAAGCCAAACTTCCTCTTCTTTTGCCCCAAGTGCCAAATCTTCACCATAAAGCAAGACACAGGCTTCCCCTTGGCAAGCCAGGATCCCCCAATGGCTTTTGCTTCTTGAATCCTTTGTCCAAAAGGTCACTTTCTTCTTGAAGGCGCTGGCTAGGCGGGATCCAGGTGGCCCCAGTGGGTCACTCTTTGGTAACAGTTACCAGTCACAATTGTTCCTGACTTGCTAGGCCTTCCCGTGTCCGGGAATGAGAGGAAAGTCCCCATGTCTGTCTCTAAGGGCTCAGCCTACCTGGGGCTCAGAGGAGGAAACCAGAAGAAACCTTCCCAGTTGTGTGGCACGAGTGTGCCTTTATCCATTGGGGACGGGGGACAGAGCAGAGTGGCCTGGGACACGCTGTCCCACAGCACCGGAGCTGCTGGGTCACCACGGCCAGCTGCCAGCTCCTCCTGCCTGCCGGCCCCTCCCCCTCTCCAACAGGGCCCTGAGCAGGCTGCCTCATTGCAGAGACTTGCTTATCCGTTCCCAGACACTCCTAGAGCCAAGCATCCTCATTGCTGAAAGGACCACAAACAGGGCAAGAAGACACATCAGTCATCAAGTGGAATTTCTTGACGGGTTTGCAACTATTTAGAAAATTCTAGGGGCTCGGTCAGTTGAGTGTCCAAGTGCTGATTTCAGCTCAGGTCATGATCTCACGGCTCGTGAATTTGAGGCCCATGCCGGGCCCTGCACTGACAGCACGGAGCCTGCTCGGGATCCTTTTCTCTCCCTCTCTCTCTGTCCCTCCCCTGCTCGTGCTTGTTCTCGCACTCTCTCAAAACGAATAGTAGAAACAAAGAAGAAGAAAATTCTCGAGGCACAGAAGACCAAAGCTGTGAGGTGTGAGTAAACACCCAGACTGCATCACTAGAGAGCCCTTCCCACAGGGGCCCCGCTAACACCCCCTCCACACCTGCCTCTCCCACCCAACTGTGACTCCCCCGTTTCCTTCCACCGTGTGCCTCCCTCACCACCTTCGGGAAGCGGGCCCTACTGAGGGTGGAGGCCTCTCCCTGCCCCCACTGCCCCCTCATCCCTGGACCCCCTGCCGGCCTGGTCTCCCCAGGCACATCCCAGGCCCCAGGGGTCAGGATACGCACCTCAGTGGGAGTCTGGTTTTGTTCTGACGGTGACAAGCCTGAGGAGAAGCCCCATCGGGGCTCGTCCTTGGCCCTCATGCCCCGGCTGCAGGGCTCCAGCGCCCACGCTCAGTGGGTCTGATCTTGTGCACAGCTGGTGACCAGCACGCCCGGAACCAGCTGCTTCTGCACCCCCAGCGTGCCCAGGGTCCCAGAAGTACCCTCCCTATTATCAGGTGGATTCCATCTGGGAGTGAATTTCCTCTGGTGGCTTTTCCCTCGTTCACAGACCCTAAAACTGCTCTTTCCACCAAGGTGCCAAGCAGAGTGATGGGACCAGGGAACAACAGAGGCCCGTCCAGCAGGAGGTGCCCGGGAGGGAGGCGGGCTTCCCGGGTACTTACTGGGAACCGCTTTTTCATAGCACACGCCTTTGTAGAAGCAGCACCTGAGTTCCTTGCACCGCTCTCTGGTGATGTTGTAGTCACATATGTTGTAGAGAGGAATGTCACACACTGCAAAGCACAGACGCACACAGCCGTTAGCACCAAGAACACAGCCGCGGCGGAGTTCTAAATACTCGTGCCTGGGAGGGGGCACCCGTGGGCTTGCACTGTGGGGTTTTGTTATGCTTTTAATTATGCATCCGACGAATCTCACTTTGACACGAGGATCTAGAATGAGTTAGATTTCTGAACAAAACAATGTCAAGCTAACTGCACAGAATAATGCAGAGTCCCCTGCTGATTAAGGAGATAGAGCATCTCAGCAGAGTGCTCGCGCACATCGGCACTCTGCAAAGCAAACAGAAAACAAAGATCTGATACAGCCAGCAGATGTGGGGGGTTCAGGTTATAATGCGTAATTAATGCACATTTAAGCACACGTGAGTTAAAATTATCAACACAGGCTAAGGGCTAGCTTGGCATTTTAAAGTTGAATCAAAAGGACCAAGTGAAATGACAGTTTTGACCAAAAAAAAAAAAAAAAAAAAAAAAAAAAAAAGAAGAAACTCAGAAGTGAACACACTGAACGTGCATGAGCAGATGGTGGGGACAGTGCTCAGCACAGCTCTGGCACCAACGGCTAATGCGTGTCCAGCTAGGAGGACGAGTGAGTCCCCTAACCGGCAGTCAGCAACATCTGCCCCAGACCCTGCTGGGGCTTCCGGTCCCGAGGGAAAGGGAGGAGGGGTCTCCGGCTGCCTTGGGGCTGGTAAGCCTTTCAGGTGCAGGGGCTCCAGGGAAACCCACTGTCCCTTCTGCTCTTTTCTGAGACGTGCGTTTGGAATGTCACTGCGGACACAGCAGCACAGCCCAGACGTGTGGCAGGACCGGCAACACGAGGCCAGGCAGGGTCGGAGATGGGGAAGTCTGGCTGTCACCCTCCTGCCCCACTGCCCCCCACTACAGCCAGGCTTGCTGGGCGGGTGGGGCCGGCCTCCCCCGCTGCCTGCGGTCACCCAGCCCTCAGTCAGCCCTCCACCTCAGATGGGGCCTGGGCTGCAGAGGGCCTGCCAGGCGCTCAGGGTGGCCACACGGTGCCCACTGGTGGCTCCCACAGGACAGTCAGGGTGGCGGCAAACACCGGCTCCAGAGAGTTCCAGGAGACCCAAGACCGCACAGCTGCCAGGCAGAGCCCAGATCTCCCCTTTCCCACTGTCTCCACAGGACCCATTCGGTGGGTGCCCTTCACGGAGCCTAGGGGACATTCTTCACATGGCTCCATGACAGTGGAAGTTTATCTTGGTAAACAGCACGGGGGGGAAAACAATCCATTCAGGCGTAACTTTGTTCATGACTGTCTCTTCAATGTTACTCCCCAGGTGAGAAAACACAGGTATGTGAGTTCCCATCCTGACCACTCGAATGGGATCGTTTGCCACAGCAGCTGGCCCCCCAGCGCACCCGTGTGGAAGCTCAGTGCCCCATTACACCTGAGACCTCTGTGCCCACCCCCTCCTCCCCAGGACTGTTTTCTCTGCCTGCACCTCCCACAAGGTCCTGATGTGTTTCTGCAAAGGTGCCCAACACAAAGAGCTCATCCACATCTCCATCCCTGGAGTGACCCCTCTACCCAGCCCACAACCCCCAAGAGACGGGGCAGGGGGCGGGTTAGTGAGGCTTTACTGAGGACATCCTGTAGCCCCGGACTGGCCAGCTAAAAGCATCAAAGGACAACCCACAATCATGTGACCACTGGGCACCAGAAGCGGTGCCTTCAGCTGCCCCACCACACGCTGCTCGCTGGGAATGGTACCTGACACCTGACCTAGGGATGGGGCGGAAGCCAGAAGGTTGGCATCTCCTTGGGCAGGGCCTGGCTGCTGGGGCTGCACCCCGTGCTGCCCATGACATCCAGGGAACGCCAGGGCCCAGGTGAGAAAGGTAACGAGGAAGAGGGAGACGGCAGCCCTTGCGACGGCCAGGCCGCTGGGCACCTCCGGTTTTGGAGAAACAGAGACTGCGGCAAAATAAAACACAAGGGCAGGGGGCCCAACATCCCTGGGGGAAGTGCCCTGTGCCTCATGAGGACCAGGTGCCTTGGGTCACAGCCAGGGAGGCGGGTCTGGCTTGGTTCTCCAAGTGTCCTCACGGGTCTTTCCTCTGCCATGCTTACGTGTCCTCTCACACACGCCCTCGTGCAGACGCGTCCTTGCCCGTGGTAATGCAAGGTGCCACCTGCCCACCTGCCTTCCCTCTCCGCCAGCCCAGCCCCCATACCTGCCCACCCCACCGGCCCATCTCCTACCTGCCCACTCCCTCCACTTGTTCACCTCCCACACCTCAGAGTAACACTTAACAGCCACGTCGATGTCCACAGAGGACGACAGAGACACTTGCGTTCACCCCCAAAACTGGTGGAAGGGCAGTTTATGGTCAAAACGCAGGTGGATCACTGTGACCCAGGAGAGCAGGCCCCTCTTTCAGACTGTTGAGGACAGGGACGATGACCTCCCGCCCCCGACTGGCCAACCCACTCCAGCCACACCCAGAGAAGGGGCACCTGGCCAGCCTCAGAACGGGGTGGGCACCAGGGTCCCCGGTCTCACCGCCCTGAATAGAGGCGAGATGGGCCACCCATGCCCCAGGCCCTGAGAGCGGACTGTCCTCCACACAGGCGCTTCCACCAGGAGACTCAGGGGGCGCTCCAGGCCAGCCATCTCTGCCGCCCACTTGGTGCCCCAGGTGCAGGCCACCTGCCTCCTCTGCGCGGAGCCATGTTGATCAGAAACCACAGCCCCTCCCGTGAGCCCCCTTGGCCTGGTTTAGAGCCTGGGCCTGGACCCTGGGGCCTCGAGTGAGACCCACTGACCTTCGTTTCCCAGCTGCCCTGTGTGATGCAGCCCCCCCGAGACCGGCCCCCAAGGGCATCCCGAGGGCTTGGTCCTCAGTGGATTCCTGTCAGGTGACAGGAGAAATGTGTCTCACAGAAGCTTGGCCGGCCCGGGACCCTCCATCGTCAGGCCTGACTCCAAGCCAAATTAAAAAAAAAAGAAGAAGAAAACCAAATTTCTTTTCCTTCCACTTTCCTATCTTCTGTTTGTCACCAAAGCAATGCACGGAGAAGGGTTACCTGAGAAGTCAGCACGAGCGTGCACAGCAGGAACGGCCCTTCCCTCTCCTCACGTGGTCCCCCAGGGTCTCAGGCTTCCAGGACACCTACCGTGGGGCTCCCAGTGACCGCAAGCCTTGCAGAAAGCCACATCTTAGCAGACTCCTTCAGCACCCAGTACCAGGGGTCCGACTGCAGACCCTGGGCACCAGGGAAGCGGGAGGAGGGCTTTACCGCGGAGAAACGTGTTCCCCTCACGAAAAAGTCACTCTCGCCATAACCACTTTGAGACAGAAGGTAAGTCTGACACCTCACAGTGAACCGGGTTTGACCCTAGAGCCCTGGGAGTTAAATGCGTTTCTTGTGAATGCCTCAGGTCCAGGAGCTTCCTTCCGCACTGAGAATTTTGAGAGAGGAGGCTGCACAGCCTTTTCCTGCGTTATTTTTTTTTTTTAATTTTTTTTTTCAACGTTTATTTATTTTTGGGAGAGAGACAGAGCATGAACGGGGGAGGGGCAGAGAGAGAGGGAGACACAGAATCGGAAACAGGCTCCAGGCTCTGAGCCATCAGCCCAGAGCCTGACGCGGGGCTCGAACTCACGGACCGCGAGATCGTGACCTGGCTGAAGTCGGACGCTTAACCGACTGCGCCACCCAGGCGCCCCTCCTGCGTTATTTTTGAAAGCACACGTTCCTTTGCCCCCTTCCCTGGCTCAAGCTGGTGACTAACCGCCATCACCTTGGGGTAGACCAGCCCCCACGGCGGTCTTTCCATTACCTGCAAATTTCTTCAGGAGGTGAGAAGGGGATTTCTTTAATTCTGGCACATGTGTCATCGTAGCAGCTGATGGAGACGCGGGGTCGAGGGAACCTGGGGGAGACAACAGGTCAGCCCAGGTAGGACCTCGCCGGGGGGCTAGCGGCCGTGGTCGGTCTAGTGACAGGGGTGGGGCTGGGCAGAGCGGACCCCGGTCTCACCTGGCAACCACGTCCCCCACTGAGCCTGCTCAGCCGCACGGTCCCACAGTTCCACTTCAAGTGGACAACTTTGGATCCAACAAACTTGCACCTCCTCCCTCCACCGCTCCCACCAGTGGGACCTAGCTCCAGTGGTGGGCCCGCCCTGCCCGCTGTGATGTCACACAGACCCCATGACATCACAGAGGGAGCAGGGGGGCGATGCTGGCAGCTGTAAGGTGGAGGGAGTCTCACATGGTCGAGGAGTGCAAGGACCCCAAGTGCAAGGGGTGGGGCTTTGAACACCACCAAGACCCCCTTCTGCGTGACACCCAGGCCTGGCTTCTGAACCACGGGTTTGCATCCTGCCGGCACTCCTGGGTCCCCCTTCTTGGGGTGTCCACATTTGCTGAGATAAACCCTCCACCTCAGGGATGTGTAGCCCATGGAAGGAGACAGACCACGTCAGATCAGACGTGTTACGGAGAAAAAGACAGCAGAGCGCAGTCAGGACTGATTTTCTGCTTACACAGGGTAAGCGGGTGGCCTCGGGCTTATGTGGTGTCTGAAGAGTTTTGGGAGAAGTGAGGGAGAGTGTGCAAAAGCTTGAAGAAGCAGCAAGTGCAAAGTCCACGGGGTGAGGCACCCCTGGCCAATCTGAGAAACCAGGAGGCTGTGCACTTAGGGACCTAAAGACCCAAATGGACGAATCTAGCTGGGGCTGAGGTCCCATGGTGGGGTGGAAAGCCATCTGAGTGCCTTGGAGAAGGAACCTGCTGGGGCCACAGGACCTCCATGAGGCCTGGGAGGTGGGAGCTCGGGAAGAGTGGGAGAGAAGGGGAGGCCTGTGCCCAGCCCAGAGAAGTGAGATCAGCAATGAGGCCCAGGTGACCGTCCTGTCCCTGTCCCACACCTGGAGTGAGGAGCAGGGACCCACTGGGGAGGGCTGGGTGCTAGCAGATGGCAGGTGGGAAGGAAGCCCTAGGACATGGCAGGAGGGTCATGGAGGCCACAGCCAGCCCTGTGAGGTTAGGGAGCCGTGCTGGCTGGGCCCGGGGCAATGAACTGCCACCAGAAGGGAGGGGGTCAGGGAAGCATCGTGCTGGGACCTGTCCCATTGTGACCCCAAGAGCAGTGGCTAGGGAGCGTCAAGGCCCCAGCCTCAGGGAGACCTGGGAGAAGGCAAACCACGACCACCAGGCCGCCACAGAGCATGGGATGGACCTAGGAGCACGAGGGCGGCAGGGACAAGGCCTCAGCAAGGAGACCAGCCCCCCAGCGAGAGCAGCCTGGAGAGCAGGGGGTCTGTGGTGAGCCCGTGGGGTCACACCAGGCGGGCGCAGGCTTTGGTCCCCCTCCTTGTAAGTTTCCTTATCTGTAACACGAGGGTCAGGACCCAGTGACCGACGCGTAGCTGAAGCCCAGTGAACAGTAGTGCCCACATCTGGGGTCCTGAGGGTCAGGCAGGGCTTCTGGCAGCCCCACACGCTAGCCCATCACCCCCCACGTGTAATTCACGTACCGCACGCTTCACCCACTTGCAGTGGGCGTATTCACAGTTTGCAACCATCACCACCCACGTGAGAATGGTTCCATCAGCTCAGGGAGGCTCCCTCTCCCCCCAGGCTCCACCTCCTGTCTGCAAGGTCTGCCTCTGAAGGTTTCCTACCGACAGAAGCACAGAGCACACGGTTGTGGGCGTGTGTCTTTCACTCACAGGGTTTCAAGCTTCATCCAGGGAGCGGTGCGCCTCAGCACTTGGTCCCCTGGCGGCTGAACAGTGTGGATGGAGCTCATTTGCTTAGCCGAGTGTCGCCTATGACATGTGCGGCCGTGGAAGGCACAGGCTGGGCAAAGGGAGCAGCCAGCATGGCCTGCGTTGCCCGTTACCCCGAGTCCTGTTTCCCCGGGATAAGTAGGGACCGCCCTTAACGGATTTTATTCCAGCTAAGAGAAAGACACTTGCTGTTGTCAACTGTGAGGTCTTCCTGTGGGACAATGTGGGTGTTGTCCTGGGTTTTCTGACATAGGAAAAGTACCATGGGGGCCCATTACGACTTCCACAAGAACTTCAAGTACTAGCCTTTCACAAATGCTCTAATGGGATTTGGTTAACCTACGACAGCAGCATCACTCCAGCCCCACCTCTGAAGGGGCCAGAGCCTCAGGCAGATGCCACCAACCTGGGGGGGGTGTAAAGACTGGGCGGGGGAGGTGTGCAGCACTGTGGGAAGGGGAGGGTGGTTAGGACAGGATCCAAGTCAGCTCAACTGGGTGGGCACGGGCACTCTGGGAATCCTCCTCGAGGGCAGGGGGAACCAGGACCACTGAGGGAGCAGCAGCCCTGCCACATTGTGCATCACTTGTGGGCAAGGACAGGGAGTGGGGACAGAGCCCATCAGGGTCTCCTGAGAGGTCTATCCGCCCAGGGGAAAGAGAAACGGGCTGGTGGCCAAAAAGGAAACTGCACAACTAAAGCAGCTCTGTAAAAGCATGTGTAAAACACAAACGATGCAATTTGCTGTGTTTACGAGGGAAGCAGGGCTTCCCTGGGGACTGAAGGGCCAGAAGGGAGGGTCCCCTGGCCTCTCCTCCCGACTGCTCTCCAGACACGATGACGGCAAGGCCAGGGGACCACGGTACAGGGAATGGCAAGTAGTCTCGGGGGCTCTGACTGTTGACTCTCCTCTTCCGTAAGCTTGACTGGCTCCATACGAGAAAGCCTCAGGCACAGCAATCAATGTGTGTCTCGTGACTGATGGCACCGAGCTGAGACCAGTTCTCCCCTGCTACTGGACACGAAGCAGATGCCAGACACCCACAGAACCACGCACGAGGCCACCAGCCTGCTGGCTACCCGACCCCCCCCCCTCCCCAGGCACTGTACTCCAAGACTTGGGGCCCTCAGAGCACTGCCCCAAGGGCTCCGGGGCAGCCCAGAGCACTACCTCAGCGATTGTCCCCTCTGCCCGGAGCCGGGCCGGACGCCTCGCACCAGCACCCAGGAGCTGGAGAGAGAGGCAGCCTGCCCGACCCAGTCGGGGCCGGGCACCTTTGCTTTGAGGAATTGCAGGGGGAAAAGCAGAGCCAGAGAGGAGGTCCCGGGGGGACACTGAGGCCAGCTCCACTTGCTTTATGAGCCAGTGGCCAGCGGGTGTGCACTGCCACAACTGCCTTTCGGAGGAGTCCACGGGGAATCCACGGCATGGGTGTGTGCACACCAGTAACGAGGGAAAGGCTGCAGACGGCATTCGGACCGAGACTCCTTTTTTCGAAAAACTAGAAGTACAGTATCGTCAAGAACGTTACTTCTAAAATGTTTTCTGGGACTCTGGCAAATTCCATCAAAATTAAAACACGCGTTTCTAGAAATAAATCGTACAGCAATACCTACCTGGTTGCATACAGGATACTCATCGGAGCCTCTGCAATACCAACTGCCCCCCCCCCGCCCCCCAGCACTGAAATAACCTGATGCTTTCCACCAGTGGGATATTTATGCGGCTGCCCCACACGGGCAGCCCACACTCCCCAAAATGGATACTGGGGATTCGTTACCCACAAAAGGCAGTCCCAGCAAAAGGCATAAAAGTTCCGTACTCTGAAAGTTTCGAGGTTTTTTTTCCTACCTAGGTCTTTACTACACCTGCAAGTTTTTATGACGTGGTACCGGGAGCCACTATTTTCCCACATGGATTTAAGAAAAAGGCCAGTTAGCGAACACAACGTGCTCTCATTGCGGGGAACAAAAATCGCACAAACACCACAGGTTTGCCTCTGCCCAAAAGAACCCATCACACTGGTTACCTTTGTGGAAGCAGGCGAGAGTATCGGGAGAGGGGCTGCGCGCTTCTCACCTCGTGCCCCCTGCGTCTCTCCCCACGCAGGGACTTCATAAAGACCAGCAAGTATATACAAGTGCCCCGGTAAGAAACACTTGAATTAGAGATACCAGCGCAGCTCATTTACAATGCAAATCAACACAAGGGACTTTCTCAAGGTCCCATCTCAGCCTGAAAAACTGGAAATCCTCCAAACTCTGGGCACCACGTTGGTGGCCAGGCACCCCGGGTGGCCGTGGCCGTGTGCCTCGCCCGGCTCACGGACCCCCCCTGGGTGGTGGCTACTTCACCTAGTCCTCACGCCCCATGTCCAGTGCAGATGGCCAGGTTCCCGGCCACCGCTCTTGGCTGCAGTGTGCCAGGTTCAGGGCTGCAGTGGTGGCCTGCCCTCTGAGGGGCCGGGGGAATATCAGAGCGCCAAAGAAATTGGGAGCTAACAGGCGATGCAAGTTACACCAGCACCAAGAAAACCGGTCTTTCTGCAGGACACGTGCCATCACTGGTCTCCCTAGAATCTGGGAGAAAGAGGACAAAGTAGGGTTTACCAAGTCACCTGACAAAGTTTTCACAGACTGTGGTGATGGAGATATGCACGGCTCACCTCCTCGGATCAAGGGTGGGAGCTCGGAGAGGGAGGCAGCAGCATCAGGGGGCGTTCGACCTGCTCCCGGCGTGGCTGTCTTCCCGGAACACAGGCTCCAGCCACTCGCCTGGACGGAGTGACCACCAGGGCGAAGGGTCTGGGCAGGGCAAGGCTCACAAGCACACGAGCAACTTGCTTCTGTTGCCTTTGTCCACAGGCCACCAGTGTAAGGACCCCCAGGAACCCCGAGACACACTTTCCCCCATTCCACCCACGAGGGGGGATCACCGAGCCCCTTCCAGGATGAAAAGTCCTTCTACAGACAGAAGGGCCGTGCCTCATGGTGCTTTTCCTTCCCCTTCCTTCCCTACAACCTTCCTTTTCCTAACAGGACTTCAAATATTCCCAAGCCACCGGTTTTAAGGCAAACATGATTTTTCCAACATCAAAAATTTACACCAGAATTTATTTTATTTTAAGTCAGAAGAGGTGTGCTTGGGTGGCTCCAGTCGATTAAGCACCTGACTCCTGATTTTGGCTCAGGACATGATCTCACAGTTTGTGAGTTCAAGCCCCGTGTCCAGCTCTGTGCTGGAAGTGTGGAGCCTGCTTGGGATTCTCTCTCTCTCTCTCTCTCTCTCTCTCTCTCTCTCTCTGCCCCTCCCCTGCTCACGAGGGCTCTCTCTCGAAATAAACTTAAAAAAAATTTAAGTCAGAAGAAAGCATAAAGGTAACATGCACCAAAAAACAAAACACAAAACACATCATGGAAGATAAAGTGATATTGTAACTTAAGGAAAGTCAGTTTAATAATTACAACGATGTAGAAGGAATAGTCAATGCCAGGACACTCTGTGGCATTTACAGGACATGGCCCCACAATAGTCACCAGGGATGCTGTGTGTCCTAGAGAAATGGGGCGGGAGGGCGGTGGGAAGTGCACACACAGCTGGAGGCGCCCAACGTCCCAGCGCCTGGTGCGCGTGGAGGCAGACACCACGAGCACAAAGGACGGTGTCTGACCCACATCTCAACATCGTGCAGAACTGAAGTGTGTCGTGTCCTCGCCCTTGGGGTAAATAGGGCACCTTTCAACCCCCAGCCCCTTGGAAGGTCAGAGAAACGTAAACAACCTATTTACAATAAGGAAGGTCTGTAGAAAGAACTGCTCTCGGATGCATTTTCTCTGCTCCCTAAAAAGCTTAGTGAAATCCTGGATCTGCGAGAAGAGGAGAGAACGGGCCTCTCCCCTTAGGGCAGGGATGGGGAAGAAACAGGTGTCACTCAAGGCTTCGGTGAGGCTAAGGCAGGCGAGAGACCCCTCCTGGGATGCTGCCAGCAACATCGCCCATCAGAAACAGGTGGAGAGAGCAGGGGACAGAGGCCGTCCCTGAGTTCAAGGCTGCACACTTGGACACACTCCAACGTGTCTCCCACTGCAAGAAAGGTCTTCTGCGTCACCAAAGACTCCTGTGAAATAGGGCTTACCAAAAAACAGGCTCTCCCTGCTAGTCCTAGCTCTGGTGAACAAAATGCTAAGTGCAAGAAGTTGGCAATTCTACTGGAAAGGCCACACATGGGCAGGTCAATGCTGAGCCACAGACACACCTGCTGGGCACACAGCCAGGAGGGCCAAGCTCAAGCCACTGCCCTCCAGCAACAGATGGGGGGGGGGGGGGGGGGGGCACAGTGCTCAGCAGGAGCCTGGAGAAGCAGAAAGCCAGGTTCCAAAGCCACCCAGTTCAAAGGCATCAGAAGATCCCGAAGCCTTTACAGGGTGGCTTGACCCACAGATCACGAGGCCCAAGTCACTCCTGAGGCCACAAGGGTATTTCTGAGAAGTCTGTAATGCACAGAGATACTGCTGTTTTAAAAGACCTAACACTGGTTCTGTGAAAAAGTTCCTGTCGATTAAAGCTGACCTCTTGAGAAGAGGGGAGCAGAGAGCCACTGCCATAATGTGGGCATCCTGCCTCCACGGCCGCGGTTCCTGCCCAGGGGCTCTGAGGCTCCTGCGTCCCTGCCCAGAGAGGCCAGCAGAGCTGGGGCTGGGCAGGCTGCCCGTCTCCTCTGCTGTGTAGGTACAGGGGGAAATGGACCCACATTTAAACTTTCATCGCTTTGGCGGGATTTATATTGCTTTATTCTCACTGAAAGGGGGAAACATTTCTTTTTCCCAGTGAGCACTGAAGGCTCGTTGCATGCTGCTGGTGAACAGAGCTCAAAGTGGCCTGACAACTCCCAACCACCACCTGCCATGTCAGCCCACAGCATCCCTGGTGTGCCTTCATCAGCCTCAGAGATACGTAATAAATAATAGTTTATTTACAGGTTCTTGTGAAGCTTTCTCTCGTGGGCAGGACACAACAGTGCACTTTTTCATGTTATTAAACCAGCCTATATAAGAAAGTCTGCTCTCCCCAGTGCAGTGAATGCACGCCGACGGGCCGCCGTTCTCCACAGGCAGAAAGGCGCAGACACCAGCAGCTGGACATGGAAGTGTGTGGGGACCTCCTGGGATCTGTGGTTGAAGCTGGCGTCTCTCTCACTCAGCCCGGGCACCTCACTCAGGCCCACCACATGTCAGTGACACAAAATGGCTTTAACAGAAGACTTTCGAGGGTATTAAGGTATCTCTGCAGACACAAATAAGGTTAATTACTTAGGCCTACCAAAGCAGAAGGTCTTTTTAGAGCACGTGGGGACTATAGAGAGCAAACCAGGCATCCAGCAAAATACCAGGCACCTTTAACGCCCCTGCTTTCCATGAGCACATCTTGTTCACAGGACCAGAAAGGTTAGTGGGAAGGGAATTCTAGAGCAGGTGATCAGCCCAGATGGAACCACCATGGATGTGCATTCAAAATGGAGTATTTACAAGAAACACGTGTAATTATATATACTCAATAAAAGCCTGAAACACCAGGATTTGTAGTCACTGCACTTATTGCAAAATGAGGTAATTGAGATGTTAACAGAGTAAAATTACTGCAGTTCCACCCTCAGGGTCTACACCTCACGTGTGGATTCTTCGGGAACAGTGCAACCGTTTCTATTTGTGTGAGCAACTCCAGCTTTCCCGTGCACAGAAAGCAAGATGACTTTTGTCCAGCCCTGCCCCCGCGGTCCCACGTGTTCACCCGGGCCTGGTCTCCTCGCTGGGAAGAGGCAAGGATGCTCCTCAGAGGTTGGTCTCATCCCAGGCAGGGTCGTTCATGTTCTTCAGAACTTTCCTCACCAGCTTTTCCAGGTCCTTGCGGGCTCTCTGCTCTTCCTCCAGAGATTTCTTCATCTTTTTGTTATCCTGTAATTGAAGCAGACCACAGGAGACTGGCGGTCTCGGGCACACAAGAGGGCAATCCCGGGCTGGAATCCACCAGGCTCAACAGCACCGCCCGAACGCCCGCACAGACACCCCTGTGATGGGTCTCCAAGATCCATCACAGAAGGAAGAACGGTCCTAACTATCCATCCAGACAACCTCCACCTGACAGACCAGGAGACAACGGCTGAAAGTAACAAGAGGAACGTGCGTCTTCCCACATCTGTAATGATCTCACAACCTTTTACTAGAAAAACGGCAGCAGCGGCAGCCCCTGCGTTCCTTCGCCCTGACCCCATCACTCCTAGGCACACGCGCAGGTGGACCGCTGCCGGGCCTCCCTTCCAACTCGGGGAAGAAGCACCTGGGCACCCCAGCCCCCACCCCACGTGCAGGGCTCAAAGCGCTCCTCGGAGACCAGAGCCATGGTGCAGTGAACCTTCTCCACAAATACACAAAATATACTTGGGTCACTTAGCCAAGTTCACCTGACTTCTTAAGAACAAGGACCATGTGTCACACCAGCAAGTGGCAAAGAATAATCACAGTAGGAATTTTAGGTATTTTAAACAATTATTCCAATAGAACTTGAGATGACTTATGATGGAAATTGTACAGTAAAACCTTTAAACAGGTCACTTTAAGAATTCATCTCCTTGGGCACCTGGATGGCTCAGTCCGTTAAGCGTTCAACTTTGGCTCAGGTGGTAACCCCATGGTTTGTGAGTTTGAGCCCCATGTCTGGCTCTGCATGGACAGTGTGGCTCTCTCCCCTCCTCTCTCTGCCTCTCCCCTGCTCTTTCCCAAAATAAACAAACATTAAAAAAAAAAAAATACTTGAAAAAAATTCAGTTTTCCTGGTCTGTGCCAGGCACAGAAGACCAAACTGATCTGCTGGAATTCTAAGAGAAAGGACCTCTCCCTTCTTTATTACTTCACGTTCAGACAAACGGCCTTAATTTGCAGGTGGTGTTTTCCCCTTCTCCTCCTTTAAAAACAAGGTCAACAGGGTCAACAGGCTGGCTATGACTCACCTGTCTTAACTCTTGGACTTCGTCCTTTAACGCGTAGACAGTATCCACAAGACTCCTGAAGCAGAGAACAGGATGAACACCCAAACGAGGGTGGGAGCAAGGACACAGAAGCACATTACCGGGAGGCATGACAGGACCCTCCTCGGCAAATACCCAACTCCGTCCACTTTACAACAGCCTGCTTAGAGTTAATGCCACTCTGTCAAGGACACCAGGAGGGCCAGCCCTCAAAGGTCTTGGGCTCCAGGGCTCCTTGCCATCCGCCCCCTCCCCATGCCCACGTGGCCCACTTTAAAGTGCTGGAACGTGGCTTACTTTTCTTCTATCACTGTCTGACCATTACTCTTAGTTTCTTCAACTATGATTTTCTCTTCCTCTGGAAGCAAAACTTGTGGAGCAGATTCTTTGCGTGAGCCTAGATCATCAAAAACACAAAAAACAGAAGCAAAGCCCACAGGTGAGCACATGGCAGAACTTGACACCTGACTCTACAGCACTATGTCAACATTAACATGAAATTCCAGAGACCATACATTGAAAATCCTCTACATAAAATAGGGAATGGCAACTTTTGCCAATTTTCTCCACTTCTGTCTAGCAAACCCAGTCCTTCTCGTGCTGAAAGCATCGCAGAGGAAAGGAAGCAGTAGCCTTCTGGCGATTTATTAAGCTTCGGTTCCTGAATCAGGATTATGGATCTTTTAAATCTCCAAATCTTCCACAGGTAGTATGTTAAAGGTTCTGACCGTAGTGCCCTGGACATTTCAGAATAAGTATCAAAATGAATTTGGGGGGCAAGGGGGAATATCCAAATCAACCCGATTGTGAGCCATCTCATTCTGGGCATTTTAGAGAGATGGGTCAGATGATACATGCACACAGGGTGTTTATAAATGCAAATAACTGGTGAAACATTTAACTCTACAGTGACAGTTAGAAATAAAGATTAGGGCACATGGTTTATAAAAAGTGAGATTTATTACTTCTTGCATGAAAACTTATTCTCCATTCCCTGGCACATAAACATTTTTCCAAACAAAAGGTGGTAAACCACAGACGATGCTGGAGGGAAGCTGGCACCATTTAACCAGTGCCCAGCAGTGCAGCTTGCCTGGACCCTGTCTCGATACACGCATGCTACAAAATGGGTACTTCAGAAATTGGGAAACCCAGCTTTTGAACAGGTAGGAAAGGAGACTCAGATCTTTGAGGACGCAAAAAAAAAAAAAAAAAAAAAAAAAAAAAAAAAAAAAAAAAAAAAATCTTGAGATAGTATTTTCTTATCTATAACAAGTACTGTAACATTTATATATATTTTTGAAAAATACTGGTACAAATATTTGAGGAAATAACACAGAACACAAACACCTGCAAAACCTCTTCAATAAAAACAATACACCTGGGGGCGCTTGGGTGGCTCAGTCGGTTGAGCGTCCGACTCTTGGCTTCGGCTCAGGTCATGATCTCATGGTTTGTGGGTTTGAGCCCCAAGTCAGGCTCTGTGCTGATGGCACGGAGCCTGCTTGGAATTCTCTCTCTACCTCTCTCTCTCTGCCCCTCCCCTGCTCACATGGTCGCTGTCTCTCTCAGAAATAAAAAATAAACTTAAAAAAAAATATGAAAACAATACACTTGATATGTGCTATGTACTAATTACGGAGATGCTGGCACAACTTGCTTCTTCCTGGTTCACCTTTAGCCCGCCTTCCTGAAAGTTCGTCAAACCGTGGGACGGCTGGCTGTGTGCCCTTCCGTCACGGGAACGTTCAGGAGAATACCCACGTGTGCAGGACGGGGTTTAAGGAATAGTCCACCAGCATTTCAGTGTCAGCTTACGCTCCTCGGAGCAGGAGTTATTACCATGAGAGCTTGACAGCAAGAGTGCTCACAAGAGGATCCCACCATCCAGGGGGTTCCCGTATCATTTCCGCTGCGGCACACCACAGGAAGGAGGGCGGGAGTTTCCCAGCCGTGGGGCGGTGGCCTAGACTCTCCCTGCCACCATCTGTACGTTGGTCCCCATCGCCCAGACTGAGAAGGGCGTCGAATTCAAGCACACGGTGAAACCGTGACAGCAGGAACTGAACTAAACTAGGATGCAGACCTCTTCCTCCTCGGTCATCTCAAGCATGAGAAGACTGAACTCCAGGCAGGCAGGTACCATCTTGGGTTACACAGCACGAGCTTCAACACGCATACTGTTTTTATACCAATAGAGGGCGGCCCTTCGGGGGGGGGCGGTCAAGCACTTCAGTATTCTAGCCAGAGTGCGGAAAATTTGGGCACAAGCCACAGCAGGCGTCTGTACTATTTCACGACTGTCCGCTATGCCTCCCTGCAAACCCCGAGCCTGCACCCCCATGGCTATGTCGTACCCCTCACCGATGGGCCACCCGCCACCCCATCGCAGTCCCCCACCCGCAAAGGGAGTTACTCTTCACAGAGGGTGACATCCTTCAAGACACGGTCCCTGAAAGGGTCGCCCTGTCACAGACAGCGCCATGCTGACGACAATCCACCTCCTGGGGTCTTGCCTGCTCCCGGCGCCATGGCTCTGAGGGGCTGCAGGCATATCTTCTAGGCCGTTCTGGGCCACATGGGAAAATACAGGCTTATCTTCTTCTAGGCCGTTCCTAGGCCGCACAGGAGCTGAGCGGCATCAGCCAAGGGGCAGATTCTGAAGGCCGTCGTGTGCCATCCCGTGCTTCGGACACAGCTGCAGCAGGACCCACGTGAGCATCGGGAAGGCTAGTTCACGTGCCGTTTCCCCACAAAAACAGGAAAGGGTTCACAAAAAGCCGAGTGTGTGTACCACACACGTGGAAAACCGATGGTTTCAGTGAATTTCGCCGTGAAGAGACGTCATCGGAAAACTCAGTCGCCTGCCAAGTGTCCCCACTGCCACCTGCCCTGTGCCACGGTCCAATCAAAACAGGTAGCGGCTGGGTGCCGTCACACTGGCTGGAAGCACGTTTCCGCACGTGGACAAGCTAATGACACACGTGGCAGCACTCTGGGAAGCCCGACTCTTGTGTGCTTCTCCCCAGGCATTTGGATCTCCCGGCTTCCTGGGCACTGCTCCGTGAGGCATACGCGGCACTCCAGGTTCAAACGGCAGGGAAAACCAGAGGCATCTGTGTCGTAAGGACATGGGCCGGACAGCGGGCACTGTCCTGTCAGCACGAGTACCAGGACAAGTGTAACTTCCGTTACAGAACGACACTACATCAGAGGACCAAGCCCGTGAGAACTGGTACGAGACTCACATGTATGTGATGGTTATTTTTGGAAATATGCTGAGAGCACACCAGAATTTATTATAAAAACTTACATTGGAGAATGTGTTATCGGCAGAACGTACTAACTGCTTGATTCCTGAAAGAGGCTAGTGTGAAAAATGCCATGTATGGACCTGACAGTGAGCCGGGAGGCATAAAGACATAATAAGGTTATTTACTGGCCTACAAAGAAATCCAGGGATGCCAACAATGTGCCTGGTTTCAATGTAGCATTTTTCTCAAAGGACAGAAAATTCAGTCTTTCAGAAAGTTAAACAATAAATATTCCCCAGCCAGGTTTACAACTAAGTCTGTTCTATAGCAATAGCCAAATTTTACAAAGTAGATTTAACATCTCAAAGATTACTGAAGTATTTTTACATGTATCACAACATGTTTTCCCTGAATTACTTAGTCTGGAAAAACAACCACTCACAAAGACCGTTCTGTCACTTTGTTTAAAACCCTCTCAGGGGCTGAGACCCAGGCAAATGTGCTCACGATGGCTCTGCACATTCAAGATCCCTATTTCCCAAACTCTGTGTTTCCAGGAGGTTAACAGGGTACGGGCACGGACGGTACTATCTCATCCGTGTCCACGCATGACCTCCCCCTAGGCTACTGTGCCGGACCAGGTCCCCGGGGGTGATGCATGCCCTGACCAAAGTGGACAAGCTTCTCCCCGCCCACAACCGCCCCTGTCGGGCACACAGGTGGTGGCACCAGGACCTCTGCTCTATACGACCTGTGGACAGAGGCCTGGATTCCTCGGAGTAGCCATGCAGCACCCCGTCAGTAAGGGCCTCCCACCCAAGAGCGCTCTGTGGAAACAGTGTGGAGTTGCCTGCTTCCTCTTCCGGACTCAAAGTGCCTTCTCAGTTTGGGGAATACTTTGCCGCCCCTCCTCCACTGGCTAATGCAGGGGTTCTGCCACGTCATTTTGGAAACTGCTGACTGCTACAGCCCCTTCTTCAAAGGTCCACAGGGCACAGGCAGCACGGTGAAGGTTTTCAGAAGGTCTGCAGTACAAATACCCACTTACTTTAATTCAGCACTTCCTAACGTCATCGGAGTGCGGAACCACTGCAGTTCTCCGTGTCACTCTTTACGAGTAGTGCTGGCCTAGCCTCTGGCCCTGTCTGCCTCTATAATCACACGCACGCGAGTGCCGGCTGGCTTTGCTGTTCAGTAAAGGCGTGAAGACAATGAGATGACAATTTACACTTGGCACCAACCCAGCGTTTCCCCAACCGGAGGACTCCCAAAAACACGTCTGCAGCTGCCTGGGCTCTGGCCGCCGCCGCCCACAGACATGCCACGGCAGCTGCACACTGCCCCCAGCAGGGGTCGCCCTGCGCCACGCAGCTGGAGATGGACGGGAGCTTGCTCACTGAGAGGCATGACTGAGAAGCTGGAGACAACTTGAACCCTGCCCCCTGCAACATTTACAGATCCTCCTTTGAGAAGCACTCGCGCTGACAGAGGATCTGCCTGGGGCACATAGCGGGTGGGGTGGGGGTGGGGGGCTCAAAGCCCAGGGTACCTCTTGGTTGTTGGAGAGCCACCTGCTGGGACACAAGGCTGGGTCAACTCCAGGACGCACGGTGGGGTGTGTGTGTGTGCACGCGTGGCTGGGCCGGCCTTCATCACAAGCCTAAAAACAGCGTTAAGTTCGCCAGAGAAGAGACCACATGCCCATCTGGCCAGATGTCTGGTACGTTTGTGGCCGAACTCCCGTAACTTCTTAAATTCATAATCTTTCTAAAAATCTGTATCTAATTATACTCCACTGGAACTGATCTTTCAGAATGAAGGAAAATATTACAGGTTTTCAAAACCTGTTTAATAAAATCTTTCCAAAAAGTCACTTTGTGATTTACCGGCTACCAAAGGATTCTAATTTTTTTTTCTTGGGAAGAGGTGAGGCATCTTTTTAGGGAACAATTTACAGGTGTTCACCATCTGTGCCTTGCTCTAGCCTCTCACGACACTTCCTCTCTCTGCTTAGCCAGCTGGGCATACGCTTTACAAAACCAAAGTTAAAATTGATCTTAGTCCTAAGGAAAAAAGGAGTAAGAAACCAAGCAAAAGCAAAAAACACTAATGAAGTTAGGTGGGGTTTTTTCCCCCCCATTTGTGCACAAAAAACCAAGAGTGCTTCTTTCTGAAGACATACCCTCCAGTGACAGAAAACTTGTTGGAAAAAGTTGAAATAAAAATGTGTTAAGGAGTGACCCTGTTTTGTCTGGAACATATTTAATCTAAGAAAGTGCACATTTCTCTCTCAAAGCAGAAGCAAAGAGTCCCATTACCTGGCCTTCCTCTGGAAGACAACTTACAGGAAAACAGCCCTGTCACACTGAGTCACAAGCTAGGCTACTCCCCCGCCCTCCCCCAGATAACAAATATTAAAAGCCACAGGCTAGCAAATGCAAAATTTATTTCAACTGTACATAACAGACGTCTTTTTTCATATATATAAAACAAACACTTCATTGCCATATGCAACCACAAACAATAATATGCATACTGTACAATACAATGCAACATCAGGTTTACATCCAACTGAGTCTTCAAATGGCAGTCGTCCACCAGAAATGGCTTTCCCATTCACAGAGAAAAAGCACAATATATAGATTTTTTTTTTCAAGGTCTCATACCACTATTTACACATTACTGTGTTTTGGCAACCTCACGCAAAACACATAATTAATATAGCTTATATACTGTGGCAAGCGTAAGTTCAATGGCAACACCACGGAGGCCCCCGCACAAGGCCCGAGGCAGCGCTCACCTACCTGTGGGTTCAGGGTCTTCACCCTCACACCTTCACCTTCACCGACTGCGCACGCAGCCAGGACAGAGCCACACAAACGAGACTCCCTCTCCGCACGACTGAAGCTCCGCAGGGGGAGGGAGAGTCCCGGCCCCCGGGGGGCCACGTCGCCACTGCCACCCAGGGGCCACCTCCAGCCTGTGGCACAGACACTTCCAACCAGGTCACGAGAGCTAATGGTGCCAGACACTCACAACAAGCCTGAACAACAAAGAGCCAGGGTGTTGTTCTGCAGTGACCTCAACGTCAGCAGAATCCCTGCCCACGTGGCTTTACTAGTACCAGAGGACGGATGAGGAAGGGTGAAACCCTGGCGTACAGGAAAGGAAATGGCTCAGGAAGATGACCCCAATGATACTTGGCAATGCAGAAAAGTCCAAGTGCAACGACTAACGGCGTCTCACCGCTGTGCTGTGCGCAGCCCACAACACGGGCAGCCCGCAGTCACTAAGGCCTGGCAAAGGCATCTCAGCCAACGCACAATGACACAGCCTCAAAGCAACAAAAGGACACTCTAACGTGATGATCAGAAGAGGGGACTGCTATACGTACACAAAATAAAACCACTGCTTCTAAGTTCACTCATGAACTTCGTAGTTCCATTTCTTCCAAAATTCCATCTGCTATCTGGCTGACCATGCAGAAACCCCATCTCTCCCGTGGGCTAATACTGGGCTCTAATTTTAAGATTGCTCAACTTCTTTATATTAATTGATACAAAACTAGGAAATCTCCAGATGGCATGAGCAGCCCAACAGCTATCTGGGAACAGACATGCTTGGAATTCTCCGTCTTCCTCACGACCTCACCACACGCGGTCCCCGAGCCGGCTGACTCTCTAAGCACCGCGCCGCTGCAGGGGGCCACCAGCCCCTCTGGGTGCGTGAGCGACAGGACCCGGCGCCCCGCCAGCAGCGGCACGGTGCAAGCAAGGGCGGGCACTGCATACGTGGTGTGGTGAGGTAGGGGACAGGGGAGACGGCCCAGCCACCCTGAGGAGAGGAAAACCGGCCATTCCCGGCTCCTCACGGCATCTGGCTTCCTGAAGTCGGTCTGACTGAGCACTTCACACGCGACCACGAGGCTCCCTGTCCACACCAAGCACAGCATGCGTGGGGGAGGGTGCTTCTCCACTCTGGCAATGACCAAACGTGGTTCCGGTGCCACCACTGAACGCGACACATCACATTCAGTTTTCTGAAGCCGAGATTCATCTGAGGGAGGCCAGTGAAACCTCCTCACAACAAATCCCAGGGAAGCGGGGGAGTCCCTTCCAAATCGGAGATTTTCTTCTAAGTGAGTTACGTGGCAGCTTAGGTCTTTGGCGGACTCAGGTGGCCCCAAGACACGCAAAGAAGGAGGATCACACAGGATGGGATGCTGTAAACGGAGTTTCACTGCAGCTACTTGCTGAAAACCACGCGTCCATCGCAGGCAACGTAATGTGGAGGTTGGGGTGCAGCCAGGCTGGGACCGAAGCCAAGCACTCACCTTTCGGGGTACAGCCAACGCCTCTCTGAACGGAGTCTCACGTACACCTTCAGAGGCTGCGCGCGTCAGAGTTTGCATTTAATCTTCAGCAGGGAGGGACTCCAAACAAGGGGAGCGTGGCGTCGTGACGCGGGGGAGGGTCTGAGCTCTGACAGTACCTGGCCCTTGGACAACCCCCACCCCACGGGCAAACGGGGATGTGGGACAGCCATCTGTGGTGCACGGACGAGCACAGAGCCCTTGCCGGCCACACCGACACACGGCTCCCCGTGGCCGCCAAGTGCCCCGAGGACTCTTCAGAGAGCGGTGTCCGAACTGCACTCAGCCCTCTTACTGAGCGCTTCCTTCTCCTGTCTCCTCAACTACTTGGTCAGTGGGTCCATCATACATAGAAGATGTGGATCCCCATACAAGGCCAGAGCCGCCTCTGTGTTGTTTGTTGATCACAAACCTGTATGGTTTCAGTATAAAATATAAAAGTGTTCATACAGCTGTATCCAAAAAGAAATGAGACAGGTGCTACACTGAGAATAAAAACCCAGACCCCTTGGAGCTGCAAAACCGCCACTACCCACGGAGAAAAGCCCCGGGCACGGGCCACGTGAGCACACCATCTCCTTCAACAGCAGCGACTCGAACGGAGGGTCAAATTGGCAATTGGGCCTCCGCAAAATACAATGGGAAATATCAGAAACGCTCTCAAAAGTTGTTAAAATATCACATAAAAGACAAGGAACAGCAAGAAAACATCTAAGAAAAGCAGGCTGCGATACAACAAGCATTTGTTAAGAAAAGCTCAGAAGTGCATTAGTTCTGGTGAGAGATATATGAGCAACAGCTCTTACGAGATGTAGAACCCATTCTGTAACTATGGGCTGTCCATATACTGTCATAGTCAGAGTCTTCCGAGAGGTCTGAGGGCTCCAAACGGGAAAGGCTACTGCGACGACCCAAGGAGTCTAGACTTGATTGGTCGTCGTCAGCCAAGACGTGATTATGCATCAGGTCAGTGCCTTGCCATGCTACGACGGGAGGGACGGAGTGACAGGCAGAGGTGGGAGGGGACGGACAGGAAGAGCCACAACCAAAAACATGAAAACAAAAGCAAAAGGTGATGGGAAGAGAAGGAAAAGAGAAAATATTGTTAAAAAATGGCAACAATGTTCATTTCTCCTTATTTACGGTGGGTTTTAATAGCACAACCCTTAGAATAAAGGTAGACTTAAATAAATCTCACAGTATTGTTTGCAAACGGTCTCTTTTTACAGATCTTGCTACGAGCCCTCACATAAGCTCATGTCCACAGATCATTCTACAGACATTTCACAAGTAAACTATTCCATTAGCAAATAGTCTCATTTATGACATTTGTAAAAGAAACCATTTAGGTGTTAAATTAGGAATTGTTTCCTATTCTTTAGGTGGATATGTTGAAGCAAAAGAGTTTCCAAGGATTTTCGACTTCTTCAGTTCATCTTTAGGATGGGGTCTACACTTACCTTATCAAACCACCACCACCACCGTAAAAGTTTCAGAGTGGAGTAGGGGTTAAATAGGGTCCACGTCCCTGGGGGCCCTTCCTTGTCGCTGCACCACCCACGATTGCAGCGCCCCGCAGAGCTCAGCCAGGGGACAGGGGAAGGGGGACGCCTGCTCAAACGTTCTCAACCCCAATGCAGACCCTTTACTGGCGGGACAAGAGACACGATGAACTGAGAGCCACTGTGTTAACAGGAGGGCAACAGAAGACAAAGGGCACCAGATGGGAGAACAGCAATCAGCCAGAGAGGAGCCACACCTGGGAGCGAGGGCCCTGGCCAGGGAGCTGTGCAGGGGCATGCAGGCTGCAGGGACACCACGTGACAGACGATGGCACACCATGGCAACCATGGCCTCCGTCCTATTCCTGCTCCTGGTCAAGGCCGAGTCCATTCCCAAACCTTAACAAGCAGGGGCGGCTACTCTGCATTCCTTCAACTAAATCCCTGGAGTCTACGAGGGTCACTACTTCCTCGAGACAGAAATCGATTCCAAAGACGTCTGGTTTATAATGTCTTGTTGGCATCCAAATGGACACTGGAAGGAGCTGAATTTGCCTGTTTTGGCTAAGCAGTTAACACGAGAAGAACCGCCTCCATTGTAACCCCGCACTGCATTTCCAGCATAAAGGATCAGTTTCCCCCTACCTTACCTGGTCACAAGAGTATTAGGGTTACGGCCATATAGGAGTGTGCACACGAGGCCCCAGAGTGATTAGCCCATAGTGTCAGCTGAAAACAAAAACCAACGTATCGTGCAACGCTTTCCTTGCACAGGAGAAATCGAAACATGTAATACAGAGGACAAATAGTCTGCATGACCTATGGGCCATCCCTTCAAGGCAGCCAAAGCAGGGACCACAGGCACATCGTGGGGCACAGTCTCCTGGATGGACAAATGAGGCTCTCACAAACGAACGAACACACACACACAAACACACACACACACCCTCCTGTTACCCGGTCTGTTCACCTGAGACTACCAGGTTAAAATTTTATTTCAAGGAATTCAAGTTGAGAGAGTTTTTTAAAATCTCAAATCCAAAACCCAAAACACTATGTCCACATCTTATATATCCTATTTACTTAAAACAGTCTCTTATCAAATACAGAAAACCAATGTATCAAAAGACAACAAACTAGATTTACAAACGATCACTTGACTTGACTTCCACCCCATCTTCAGGCCTTTGCATTTCGCCCTCATCCTGCTGACCAGTCACTATGAAGAGGTGTTCTCACCAGGGCAAATATGGACAAGAGTCTCCATGTGGCCATCGGGCCACAGGGAAATTTCTAGGTGATCTGCAGACACCCCCTGGGGTTTAATCCTACCAGCCCTACCTTCTTAGCTGTCACCATCTTAAAAAAAAAAAAAAAAGCTAAAGGAGGTAAAAATTCCTTTTCCCACCTGTCCTTTTTTCACAATTAGTCTAATAGCAGCCACAGCGAGGTGGTGGGAACGAAGCCGAGGTAGCAATGTGTCCCAAGTGAGTGTGGAAACGGAATCCAAAACACAAGATCCAACAGAAACCAGTTTCTATGCCAGAAGACACGAATCCAGTCTCCAACAAAACAAAAATGAAACCCAAAAGCCCACCTAGAAATGACAGTGCAGGACAGACACCCTGCGGTGCCGCGGCCCTGCTCCGGAGAGAGGGCAAGTCAGACCACGCGCACCGTCCCATCTGGACCCCCTGCCGCACTCCACCACCAATGCCGGCAAGGAAGAGACGACAGAGCCCACCCATTTCCTGTCTGAGCAGATGAAGATTTCCTTACTACAACCCTGTGCATAAAGATACAGGAAAATGCAGTGGTTGGTGCTAAAACCTACCAATGAATTAGTTGAGGTCTACTTCCAGAAAATTTTTTAATGCAGCATTTAAAAAAACAGGGCGGGGGGGAGCTAAAAAAGCCTCACTCTTGGTTTATATTTTTGACAATTCTATGAATCTTAAGACCCACTATCACACCAATAGAACAGTTGAAACAGCTTAAAGTAACTGAACCAATCTTTGGTCTTCTAAGCCCATCTGCTTGAAGCAGCAGAAAGCTCTATATATTCTGGCAGCACCTAATACTTAAAGTTTCCCTGGCAGGGTGTTCTGCAGAAACCTGGTCTCCCCCTGACAGCTCTGACCCTGTGCAGAGACCCAGGGACAGGGATCCCCGCAGGCTCTACAGGGTGAACCAGCAGAGTGTCACTCCGAGGGCCGCCCCCACACGCCAGCGAGCCGATGGTGACCAACCCCGGCCAGTCCTGCCCCGGCAGCCGGCTACCATGAAACTTACTCGAATTGAGCGTTTGCCGCGTTTTGGCGCTTGTGCAATAAGCTTCGATGACTTTCAGGATCTGCGCGTCTTCTTCCAAAGCAGCTGTGCCTGTCAAGACACAGCATGTCACAACTGAGCTAACGACAAGTATGTGATACAGTCTAAAAACACATTTTCTTGTCAGATAATGGTTTTCCAAAATTTATGAAGTTTATATTCAAAAGGTTTGTTTTCTTTCAAGTATTTTTTTACCTGCAACACATCTAGCAAAAGGTTAATATCCTAAATCTATAAAAGCTGCCTTACTAATCCCTAAGAAAAACCATATCCCTCCCACCCCGGAGTTGAAAACAGGCCAAGGAACAAGCAACTCACACAAGAACACCATGAGCAAAGAACTTTATTCTAAGAAGTAAAACGTTAAAACAAAGCATCAGGTTTTCATATAAGCCTGACAAAAAAAGTCAGACCGTCCCCAGTGCTGACAGGGACAGCGGGAAGGAAAGATCTGGAAGGAAAGCTTCCCACCACCCACAGCTGACGGGTACATAGATAAGTACAACCCTGGAAAGCTTTGGTAAGCGCATTTCCTCCAATCTCCGAGTTTGTGATCGAGATTTCATCTATAACACTTATAAGGCACAACCTAGACCTTGAAGGAGTCACTCCAGACCTCTTCCTTCCCCTAAGGATTACTCCAGACACCGGCTTCACCTATACTCAGACCTAAGGCATGGAGGAGGATAGATCCTTCCGGACTAACAGCATCTACTGCTATCAGTCCCGGATACTTCCTACTTCACATGACCCTATAGTTGAACTATTTCCCTTTCCTGAACTACTAAGTTTCCAATATTTTTTTGTATATGCTAAGATATTACATGTGGACATACACTTTAAAAGGCTCACCTACTCTGGCAAAAATGCAGAAGAATGGAAGACTTAAGTATTTATAAGCTGTAGAAAGCCTCACCATTTTATGATAGTAACATACATGCAAAGCAAGCCAAATGTACTCTACCAAAAAATAGAAGTTCAATACCTTCTAGAAGTTTTACAGTTTCAGGTCTCACGTTTAGGTTCTTTAACCCATTCTGAGTTCATTTTTGTGTGGGGTGTAAGTGGCCCAGTTTCATACTTCTGCGTGTAGCTGAGCAGTTTTCCCAACACCACTTGTTGGAGAGACAGTCATTTTCCCAACTGCATACTGCCTCCTCTGTCATAGAGCGGCTGACCATAGACGTGTGGGTTTATTGTGGGAATCTATTCTGTTCCACTGATTTAGGTGTCTGTTTTTGTGCCAGTACCATACTGTTTTGATCACTACAGCTTTGTAATATACCTTGAAATCTGGAATTATGATACCTCCAGCTTTGTTTTTCTTTCTCAAGATACCATATGAACCACTAATTCCACTACTGGGGATTTACCCCAAGAAAACAAAACCACTAATTTGAAAATATCTAATGCATCCATATGTTTACTGCAGCATTATTTACAATAGCCAAGATATGAAACCAACCCAAGTGTCCACCAACAGAATGGATAAGGAAGATGTGGTACGTACATACACACACACGCACACACACACAGGAATATTATGTATGCATCCATAAAAAGGATGAGAGCGTGACATTTGTGACAAGGTGAATGAACCTGGAGGGTACTGTGCTAAGTGAAAGGAGACTGAGGAAGACAAAATACCAGAAGATGGCACTCAGAATCCAAGATAAAAGCAAACAAGTACACAGAAAGCAAAGTCAGACGTGTAAATGCAGAGAGCCGATGGGCCAGCGGTGGGCAAAGTGGGTGAAGGGGAGTGGGAGGTCCAGGCTTCTGGTTACAGAGTGACTAAGTCGTGGGGACGAAACGCACAGCCCACGGCACAATGGCAGCGTTTACGGTGACCGACGGCAGCTGCACTTGTGGACAGCACAGCAGAACGTACAGACTTGTACAAATCACCACTGTTGAAACTAAGACGGCCTTGCATATCAACCACACTAAGAAGAACAAAAACAAACCTCAGCACCGAGAGTTTCAGCGCTGAGAAACGAACTTAAACGTCACCGACTGGAACCGATCCTTTCATGACAAGCTCCTCCCTCAGGAGAAGAGAAGGTTTCACCCCCTGGGAATCAGCTTAACCTCATGGGCAGGTCACCCCTCTCCACCCAGAGCAGAGTGGCCTCCGAGCATGGTTACCTGTCCGCACAGCGGATCAGATCACTCCTGCTAGATGTCACCCGGCACCCAGAGAAAGCACGGATGCCAGAACAGGCGCAGGCTCCCCCAGGACGTAGCGTGAGCGGCTGTCACCGAGCCTCCCTTCCTCACAAATGTCACAGGAGATAAATGAGCAGGAGAGCACACATTTTCGGGGTGACATGGGCCCTCCCACGGACAAGAAAAACTCTCAGGATTCGGAACGTAACAAGGAGCCCGGTAACTTCGGCGCACGGAACATGACACGAAAGCAGCTGCTCACCGAGCAGGCAGACGGCAGACGCCTCGCCTCCTCCGCTGCTGTGGAGGCCCAGCTCTTCTTTTACCTCCAGTCCCTGCAAGCTCCTGGTGCGGGCTCCGCCCTCCCAACACCCGGACCCCATCTTCGTCTCTGCACCCCCTCTCATGGGGAGAGCCCATGATCTCACCCCTGGCCGGGGCCTCAGCACCGCCGTGCCACACGGCCGGCCTGCGGCATCCCTGGCCGTCACACCCTGTAACGGCGGCAGTTCCACACCCAGTTGTGAAAACCTAAAAGGTCTCCAGAGGAGAGTATCCCCCGCAGTCCCTCCCCCAGGGGAGAAAGCACAGCTGCAGGCTCCCTCTTCAAAAACATCTGAACCCAGGCACCTGGGGGCTCAGTCGGCTAACTGACATCAGCTCAGGGCACGATCTCAGTTTGCGAGTTTGAGCCCCGCATCCGGCTCTGGGCCTCACGAGCGTCCACCGGGGCCCTGAGGCTTGTGCAAGCACAGGGGAGGATCAAGAGCCGTAGCCGCGTACCTCCAACAGGTGCAAACCACAGGGCAAAGGGAGTAGGAAGACCAGGTGGTCCCAGGTCGACCCTGCACCCCAGCCCAGCTTCCCCAGCACAAGGGATCGGCATGGAGGCCAAGAGACCGTGAGCAGCCCCATCAAGTGGAGAATCACGCGTGCACTGCACCGCGGGCGCCAGCTAGATCTCCTGCTGGTGCAGGGCTCCGCTATCGCTCCTCAATTTCCTCTAGACGTGACAGTAAGGCTCAGACCCCTGCGTCTGTCTCAAGTCTTTGAAAAGCCATCAGCCATCTCTCTACCCAACCAACGCTGTGCCCAAGACAGACCTGCATCCTCACCGACACATGCTGCACGTACTCACTTTTCCTCAGGGCGAACTCTTCATCTGAAGGCTTCCGCTCAGGCTTGCGCTTAGGTAGCAACTTTTTCATGGTCTTGGGACTCTTACTAAGATCCTAGGGAAAGAAAAAGGAAAAAAAATCATTCTGACAAATTCCAAAGACACTAGTTTTTCCTGGAGCATCAGCAAGGGTGACAGCGTGAAATACTAAGTCACTTCAGCTGCTCGTGCCAAAGAGCTTCCTACTGTACTCCCACTGTGGTGTCCTGGCCAGATGCCGGGCGTTAATGGAAAATCGAGAGGGTGCGGGCTCTGAGGAAAACCCTCCTGTTACTCGGACCAGTCACAGCACGGTGACAACACACCAAGGAGGTGTCACGGGCTCGCGGGCAGCGTCTGGAGAGGAGAGGAGACGGCCGGCTGACGCGTGCAGAGATCCACGCGTACAGATTCCAGAGCAGACCCACCTGTTGCAGCCGAGGAGAAAGAAACCAGGAAAACCAAGGCTAGTTTTAGAAGAAAGGTAAGATCAAGTCCCTCAGGACAATACTTGAAGCCTCAGGACAGAAGGAAAGGGAACAAGTTCAGTCCATCGGCCTTGAGTGCAGATGCAGGCAGGCAACAGAATGCGGGCTGTGCCCGACGGGTCCACACGCCAGCACACGGCTCGGTCACAACACAACGGCCTGCAGCAGGACAGAGACAGCAGGCCAGAGTCCAAGGGGACAGGCGGGGCTTCACTGCCGAGTGTGTGTTAAGTTACAGAAACCGTTCATGACTCTTACAACATGACACCGATGCGACACGGACTATGGGAGGAACCAGACTGGAAGCACAGAAGGAACACAGCTTGGTTTTCAAAGGGAGCGCTTCAAAATCTCTTCTGCTAAACCGTACAGCCGCTTAAAAAAGCAGGAAAACGCGCTCCCAAAGACATACCACCCTCCCTGCATGTGTCCTATGGCTTCCGTACTTCACGGTGAACAGAGAGGGGGCCCCAGGAGCACACACAAGCGCGGGTTGCGTCCCGACCATGGACACAGCAGCCCCATGTGCACGCTCTGCGAGAGGACTTCCGCCGAGCGTCTGGAAGCACTCAGTGACACGAGGTGACAATTGCAGATCCTAACGTCAGGTCCGGCAAAGCTAGTGCAGCAACACAGCAAATTGTGAAGCCCAGGCTCACTGCCCCCTCTTCCCTCACCCCCTCTGCCCCCTGGCTGGACACACTCAGTCCACTGGTTCCTCCCTAGCAATGAGGTCGCCACCAGCACTGCCCGAGCAATCCGCAAAGACTAAACGAGCAACAGACACCAACATCAGTCACGTAACCGCCCACGGCAAGGACACCTCGCACCTGGGCCTACGACCACTGGCAAGACGCAGGTCCTCAACAACAAAATTAACAAAAACCTGCAAAGGACAGGTTATAATTTACATAGTATTTCTGTGGGTCGTAAAACACTTAGGGCTACTAGCAAGGACGGAGGGTCTAGGTCCCTGGGCGAGAGGGACCTCAACTGGACGTGGAGAGGTGTACCGGGACACGCCACCTCACTCCCACACTCAGGCTCCCCATGCTTACACTCACAACCACACCCAGCACCGCAATCATCAGATTCCTCAAGTTCAAGTATTTCTTTTTCTCAAGATGCTTCCTTTCCTGAAAGCAGGTTCAGCAGAAGCAGCCTGGTGTTAAAGCACAGGGCACAGCCCGCCAACACGGGAGCAGAGGACAAACCACACTCTGCCACTTTTATTTGTGCATGCACTCTGTCTGCAACAGCTTTTGGTGACAAATGCAGGGTCCCCGGGTGGCTCTCACTCAGACCTGGAAAAGGGTCCTACGGCCTAGCAGAGCAGCACAGAGGTAAGCAAGACTCAGCATGACAAGACGTGCACAGTAACTGCAGGCTGAGCGGGAGGCCAGCCCCAGGGAGCCCTCTGGCCCCGTGGGTCCAGGAGGCAGGAAGCCAGGGCCATTCGTGAAGGGCACAGCAAGGTAAGGCTGCAGTTCCCCACTGATCAATACTTTTCTCATGTCACAGAATCAGACAGAAACGCGGGATTCCCCGGATTTCTGAATGCACCAGAATGAAGCACAGAACAGCTGGCCTAACACACGGAGATGTCAATGTCAAATTCTTGTTCATCTGCGCTCAAGACCTCACCTCCTTGTAGCAGAGAGCAGCGGAAGGCCGCAGGGGCGGGGCAGGTCGCAGGCAGCTGAGGCTCCACGGCTTGGGGGTCTTCGGAGGCTCCAGAGGCCCCCAGTTGATGGTGGTGTGCGGAGTGCCGTGATGGGAGGGGTGGGGCAGCGTGTGGTAGGCAGGCGTCAGGGGTGCCGGCTTGCTGTCTGCGTGCTTGCCGGATGGCGCGATCGGATGAGAGGGGAGCTGGGGGGGGTGGGGGGGGGGGGGGGGGGAGACAGAGGGAGCAGAACACGACAGCTGCCATCAGGGGCCTCTCAACCAGACCCATGAGGTTCTGCCCACTTCTCAAACACTCCCACTGAAAAACCCCCAAGCGGTCATCATTTCTTTACTCTCCAACCCCAAGCAGTCAACTTCTACGACAGCTATCTATTCTGCATCAGGTCAGCACAGGGGAGCAGGAAGGTGGCAGGATGCGGGGGCCCAGATCCTGGCACCCCACCACCACCTTTATTTGTCATGGACGAACACCGCATAAAGGTGTTCCATGTAGCATAGATCACAATTTTGTACAAGAACAGGCATTTCTTATCCTGGGAAATGTGGTGAAGGGGAGAGTAATTCTCCCCAGTCACACACTGCCTGCTGATTACGGGTAGGCAAAAAACTAGGGCCAAATGTCTGTTTTCATTAACAAAAAAAAAGTTTTCCCGGACACAGCCAGGCCCATTTCTGTTGATGGCTATAAAACCAAAAGTACAACTGCAACAAAAACCATATTGCCTATAAAGCTGAAAATATTTTACTGTCTCTTTACAGAAAAATTTTGCCAATCCCTAGTGTAAAACAAGTTACAAGCTGTTTTCTCAGAAAAATCAGCTCTAATCAAAATAAAATTATATGAAATCTAATTTTTCGGAAGAATAATAGGGTTTATTTTCCTGGAAAACCTGTAAATATTCCATCATACTGATAACTAAACACAAAAATGTTCAATAATACTCAAAACCAGCCCATGACCTCAAATCACCCCAAACAATAAAGCCATGCTTAATAAAGAACGAAGTGTTCTGTGAGCTGGAAATCACAGAGTGAGGTCATCACTCAGAAGAAATCCCTCCTTGAAACACACTGAATGAGAAGCCTGGCACTGGCTGATGCCATGGCGCTCTGGGACCAGCGCAACACACTTCCTGCGGGAACCACGTGCCCACACTGGTTCATGCGTGCGTCGGCGCGTCCTGTGTTGTCACAGGCCACATGGCCACCACACAACTCACAAGCGGAGAAAACGAGGTACAACAGCCCTTCTAGCAACAGCACCACAGTAATATTTGGATTGGTTTCTCCTTAAGGAAGTCAGAAGAGGTCATGGTCTTTGCTACAATGAGATTCTTCTTCAAGGAGGACCCTGCTGAGTATGGGGGAGGACACCCAACACCGCCAAGAGGAAACTCCCTCAGAAGAACGCCTAACACTTGCAAAGCCTGTGCGTGGCGCGCACTGGCGGGGTTCAGCTGGAGCACGAAGTCTTCCCTGATGTGGACTCGTACTGTTTGCTCTCAGGGTGTTGCTGACAACGTGAAGCAGCACTGCCACTTCTCAGGCACACACACACCTGCACACAGAGTAGCTCTGGAATCATTTTAGTTCCAGGGAAGCTAAGCATTGTTAGCATTTTTTTTTTCCAAGTATGGAGAAGTTACAAACGGCAGAGCCACTCAAAATGCGACCTTAGCTAAAGCCAACCAGCAGTTTCCACCTGTAAGCTGTTGACAGAAATCTAGTACAATAAAACTCATCAGAAAGCTATGCTACAGGGGCGCCTGGGTGCCTCAGTCGGTTAAGCACCTGATTCTTGGTTTCGGCTCAGCTCACGATCTCACAGTTTTGTGAGTTTGGATCCTGCATCGGGCTCCATGCTGACAGCTCGGAGCCCGCTTGGGATTCTCTCTCTTCTTCTCTCTCTGCCCCTCCCCTGCTTGTGCACCTGTTCTCTCAAAATAAGTAAATAAGCATTTAAAAAAATGCTATGCTACAGTCACTCTTCCTGAGCAAACACTGCAACGGTAGGGATGTGGATGCAGAAGTGAGCCACATGGTGGAAAGTGCAAATAAAGATCACAACAACCTAAAGCGTACGTGAGAAAAAAGCACCACCTGGAAATGCCGTGCACTCACAGGTCATTTGTGAAAAGGGGTGTGTACTTTTGTTTAAGAGGAGAACATGAAAATGATTCCACACCAGTATCTTAAGCATAAAACACCAGTAACGACAAGTTTTAAACATGGATACTGTGTGCTGAGGTACTTCAAAATGTTTAAGTTTTTAAAAAGTCAAAGAGCTGGTTAGCTCCTCTACGAGGATAAATGGATTTCTTAAAACAGTGAGGCAAAAGCCACATTTTAAAGCCTTCAACATGAATCTGGACCTTTAGTTATGTTTTTATTTTAGAGAGAGAGCAAGAGGGGGAGGGGGCAGAAGGGGAGAATCTCCAGAAGGCTCCACGCTCAGTGTGGAGGGTCTGATCCCACGATCCCAGGATCATGACCTGAGCTGAAATCAAGAGTGGATACCCAACTGACTGAGCCACCCAGGTGCCCCCAGCCCTTTGTTTGTTTGGTTTTTTTTTTAATGTTTGTTTATGTTTGAGACAGAGAGAAACAGAGCATGAACGGGGGAGGAGCAGAGAGAGAGACGGAGACACAGAATCCGAAGCAGGCTCGTGGGGCTCAAACTCACGGACCATGAGATCGTGACATGAGCCGAAGTCGGACACTTAACCGACTGAGCCACCCAGGTGCCCCAACCCAGCCCTCTGGATCACCATAAATACTTCTGTTTTTTGATACAACAGAATACAGTTAAGATTCTCAGGAAAAAACAAAAACACATATGGATGGTGGCTCCTGAGGTTTTAGGTGAAAACCCCCTGAAAGTTAGTCTCCTAGGCCCCCTCTGAGCAGAAACAGCTTCCAAGCCAACTGCCATCAAACCACGTACAAGGAGGCACAATCTAGGCACCATCGGTGTGAGGCGACAAGCTGTGTGACAGGGACTCGCCAGGATCCCCAGAGAAACACAGGTATGAATTTATATTGTTGAGCCACACACAGATTATGCTTCAAAACACCTGCTCACTTGCTGCCCCACCCCCTACCCCCAGAGGCCGACCCCACAGCGTGGAGAGGTACAGGGGTCCTTACGGTGTGAGACGGCACAGAATGGGGCTTGATGGTGGGGTTGCCGACAGAGGTGACCTTTGTCTGCTTCTGGAGATGGTCCACCCACTCGTGCAGATCCTGCTGGTTGTTGCAGGACACCAGGATCCGCTCAATCATGCTCCCTGGAAGGGAGGAGAGACACACTGAGGTGGGAAGATAGGCAGAAAGCACACGCGTGCGCACACACACCCACGGAGAGGGCAGCAGCGCTCCAACACAGCCCTCCGGACGGTCCAGCCACAACGTGCACACACACCGTGAGCTGCCACTCATCACCGTGACAGACAGCGGCCAGAGAGTCTGTGCCTATCACCTGATATTTCAAATGCATTTCTATGATTTTCACTGTCCTCAAGCTTTGTGATTGTCATTCCTGTCGTTGGTAGCTTTCCCTAAAAAAGACCCCCCCCACAAAAAAAAAACAATTAGTGCTTTTCTAGTAAAGAACGTACCATTATCAAAACAAGTATTAATAATTTTAGGAATGGCAGAAGCAGCACCCTGTAAAGCGAAACAGCTGACTATTGCCATAAGCATGCATAGTACAGACTTTTCCGTCAAGTAAGAAACCATAACACTGTAATAAAAGGAAAATGGAGTCCGCAGTAAGGTCCAGGACGAAAGCAAATTCCATCTGACACATTTCTCTGAACGTGAACACCAGGTCCCAAGAACGTGACCTATCAGGATCAAAAACTAAAGGAGGCGCTGATTCGCCTCACGAAGAGGCTCAGAGGAAGTTCACGTTTGAAGGCAACACGGGAAGCTGGGACAAGAACAACTGTCCTGGGGCCACACTTGGCTGTCCACCAGAGGGGAGGTGGGGAGTTGTGCTGAGCACCACATGGAAGGCACAAAGATGGGGACCAGCACGGGCGGGGCTGGCGGATAGATGGCATTCGAGTTGGGCTGCACAGACAACGGTCACAGCACTCAGACGCCCTTCCAAGGCCACCATGCACAGAAGAGGAAAGCAGGGTCCCATTGGTGGCATGAGGCTCTCACTGGCACGTTGACACCAACACCGAGGGCGAATGTGGCACGGGCCTCGAGCCTGCCCCGAACGGCCACCTCTGCTCCCTCAGGTCACAGCAGAGCTGGTCCCAGCCTCTCGGGGTACAAACCACAAAGCCAGAGTGCGCTGGCAGAAAGGACTCAGCTTTGTGTTTAGTGGGGCCACCTGACAATGAGGGGCAGGGCTGCCGATTCAGGGGAACCGGGGTAGGTACCCGCCCAACAGCACACTCACGAACTCGGAGGCACGGGTTTTCTGGGTTTACTAGACACATCAGCTTTATCAATTTTAAAGTGCTCCTTCTGGAGAAAGTGTGTGATTCCTCCTCCTCTTTGGGGACCAAGCTCTCTGTGGAGGCACACACACGCCACAGACACCTGGAACTCAGGATCCACTCGTGCACGTGTCCGGGACGACACAGAACAATGTGCCACGTGGGGACTCCTGCTGATGCAGGACTGAGGACTGGCCAGGCCCGGAAACAAGCCATGGGAGAGAGCACGCTGCTCTAAGTCACAGAAAATAGGCAGTGAGGACAGAAGCAGCTATTAAGAGAAAAAGAAGCTACTTGACACCACAGGATACGTTTCTGCAGAGACACCAGACCTCTCCTTTTGCATTTTCTTCTCACATCAGCTCGCACATCTTCTCAGTGTCAGCAAAACGACCGACTAGAGAAAGGTTCCGTGATCACTCACCACTAGGTACATCACCTGGCCTCAGCCAGGGTCCCTGGCTCTGCGCCCGCCCGCCACTGCACCCACCGGGCACCACAGTGGCCAGGAAAGAAGGGGCAACTAAGACGGGACTCAGGCAGGTCACCTCAAGCAGTCGGTGCCCTTAGGAGGCAGCCCTACAGAGGTCACCGGGGTCCCCCCTGCCACCCGTGTTTGCTCAGGACCAATGCGGGGACATCTGCAGTCATGCGGAAACAGGCTAAGTGTGACATACTCGACTAGGTGACACTATCTATACACACAGCACCACACCCAAAATCCAAAATAAGCCTGGAACGGATTCTGAGATTCACAGCAAATAGTAACGTGTAAACCGAAAATGTACTTTACCTGATAGATAAAACCACTCATCCTAGGACTGGCAGATAACATCAGCAAACTATTTGGGAAGAGCAGAAGGTATCTCTCATTCTTTTCCTAACGTAAAAGAACAAACAAATCCAAGTAATTTGTTTCAAAACACACAGATGTGAGAACAAGTATTTATATTAAGCGTTATGAAACATACTGAACGTCCTTCCAAAAATTTTATCAGCTAAATTAAATGCAAACAGAATTATGATAAAGTCTCAGACTCACTGGCAGCCCACGTAGCATCTTTTAAAAACAACTGGGTTAAGGAGTTCAGCTTTGCCATTAACTCTTTTTCATCTAAAATTTTCTTTTTATGGTTGAGAGAGAACAGAACTTGTCGAGTTTGGGTGCTGTGGGGAAGAACAGGTGGGCCTTTCAAGCTCGAGGGGAGGGTAGGATAAAATGTTAAAATCAACTGAATGATTCCTGGCACTTCCCTTAAAGCCCAATCAATTCAATATTGTTTTTGTCCATGCTGTAAACCTTACCTAGTTTACATGAAAGATTTAAAAGCATCTATATTAAAAACCATTTGCTTCAATGGGGGGGGGGGGGGGGGGGGATGCCCCAGAGAGACCACAATAAAGGACACAAGTTTCCAGGAACGTAAAGGAGACCAAAACGAGGAACGCAGACGGCCCTTTCCCAAGCTGCCATTTCCACGCTGCCCACAGAAGCCCAGGGGTCAGGATGCAGGGTCCTCAGGCAGACTCCTCAGACTCCAGCCGCATGCCAAGTGCGCTGGAAACCGGTCCTGCACTCTGAGCCTGTCTAGGGGGACTTCTCACACTCTGTTCCCGAAGACGCCCCACACACTTGTGGGGCTCAGAGCACAGGCTCGAGACCCTCCAGTCGTGTCCCCAGCCACTCTGCACAGCAGAGCACGTGGCCGTGGCACTCCTGCCCTGCATACCTCACTCCCGGCGCACTGGACCATGACCTGGGACATGTAAACGACGCTGCCCAGGGTCGTGATGTCATCTCCCTCCCAGCTCCGGATGGCTTCTGTCAGGATCTGCAACTCCAGCTCCTTCCTTTTCCGCACCTCCTGACACTGCGCCTGGGACACACACCACCACAGTCAGGAGGTACGGGAGCCCCCAGAACCTCAACTACCGGCCACGCGACTTTGAGACACATCATCTGCTGAATGAGAAAGCGTTCAATTCACAGGCACAGAAATAAGAGCTCTGGAAAGAGAGACACGGCTTTAGAACAATACAGCAGATCTCGCTACTTCTAGAAGAAAAAATGCAGATTGGACAAGAAGAGACTTTCTGGCTTTACTGGTCTCTGCTGGCACAAGGACTGAGCAGGGGCCAGGAGTGCATGCTGCACGTGAGGTAAGTCAGGCATGTTCCAGAAACACCGGCGGCATGGCAGCAGGGTGAAGGAGCGGGACCACCTGGTCCTCACCGAAGACACAGCCCACAGAGCAAGACCTTCATAAGGAACTATCGTGTCATGACTTTTTAAAGGTTAAACAATCATTTTCTGGTGTCGAAAGCCCAGTAAAGCATGCAAATTTACCACCACGGTAAATAAACTACCGTGATTATTTTGTATTTGAATACACCCAGATTCTCGCTCTCATTTTCTTTCATCACCTAACTTTTCTAGGGAATAAATTTTTCTACATTCATCGGTCATAATAATGCTGAGGGAAAAAATCATAATATGCCCAGTCACTTACTGAGAGGTTTTTGAAGGCAGTCATGGATTTTTGAATATCTTGTCTATCTGGATGATAATCCTTTGAATAAAAGAAAACACTATTAGCTTTCATGAGGCAAACTGTTTTCTTCAAAAGGCACTCTAGAGACTAGCTTGAAACTTTCCCAACCCTTTCAACCCACAATAGGTCTTATTCTTCTCAGCACTGAAGTGTTATTCGTACTCTTGTGGGCGCAGTAGACTTTGGGGAAACTGTGGTCTAGAAGACAAAAGCCCAGGGGCAGCTGGGTGGCCCAGTCAGTTAAGCCTCTGACTCTTGATTTCAGCTCAAGTCATGATCTCATGGTTCGTGGGGTTGAGCCCATGTTGGGATCTGTGCTGATGGTGTGGGGCCTACTTGAGATTCTCTTCTCCCTCTCGCTCTCTGTCATGCTGTCTCAGTCTCTAAATAAATAAACGTTAAAAAAAAAAAAAAAAAAAAAAAAAAAAAAAAAAAAAAAAAAGACAAAAACCCATGGCAGGACTCAGCACCTCCTCCCAGCACTGGCCTTGCTGAGGCTCTAAACCACAACAGCAGAGGGGGTTGGCAAGGAAGAGGGCCAGCAGGCCCACCCTTCATAGAGAAAGTTTGCCAACCTGCACCCATACACAGCAACTTAAACCCAAGTTTCTGCCAGGCCTGCAGTCTGCTTTTCAAAACTAAGATAAATACCCATCACGAACGGATTGATTCTTTCACTCTTATTACTGTATAAACGCTATGCTTACCATTTGTAACCAAGTGTTCCTAACCGGGCACCTCAACGCTACTTAAATCTGAGCTTAACGTTTCGTAGCTTTTGGAGACTTTTCTAACAGCAGCCGTGGGTGACAGAGATCAAGGAGGACATGTAATTTTGTAGAGGGAGGGGAAGGAGAAAACACCATTTAACAAAATCGTTTTGAAAATCCTTCAAGTTAAAAACCTTTGCAAAAACACTTCTGTTGGTTCCCGCCTCTGACACAGACGGCGAGCTTCCCTGATGGGGGCGGAGGGCCCCCGAGCGGCAGCACACGACAAGCAGTACCTCCATGTGTCTCTCCAGCTCCTTGAGCAACGTGGGGTACTTGTCCAGGCGCATGAACGGTCTGCTGAGGCCGGTGGTCAGCACCAGGATCCCCGGGCTGCTGGCGCCTCTGGTCTCCATGAACTCTCCCAGCTGCTCGCTGAGCGGAGAGAGTGGACGGCGTAGTGGTTAGAGCCCGCACACAGACAGGGGAAAGGCCCGCCCTGCCGGCAGCACCGGGTTGGGCAGCTAACGGGTGCTTAGAGCTCTTTGTGCTTAGAGCCACACTGGCACCGGCTACATTGAGACACCAAACGCTAACACCCCCAGAAGGCTCATGCCATCACTCTGGCTACGGGCAAACCCAGCTGGGTATAACCCGGCACGGGCGGTCCGCTAAGCAAACCCACACCTTCCATTCACGGAGGCCACCTGAGCAAGCCTAGTCCACAGCTGAGCTAGAAGATGGCCATCCTCTGGGTCCCTCGAGCTGGTGACACAAAGTAAAAGATGCTTTACAGCCACAGTGAAGTGAACCGGGGCGCAGATGCCCTGGCTGCACAGGAGGCCGCCCAACAGCCCCGAAGCATTCTGTGCAAGCAGCAGGCACGAGGCAGCACCATCAAGTAACGGACTCTTCCACTTAGGCTTTAAAATGTCAAAAGCACGGTCACATCACCACCTCGCTTAGCCTCATGGTAGAGCGCGACCACACCTGTAGGTAAGGAGACTGAACGCGTATCTGGAAATCCAAAAGCTGAAAGCCGTGCCTGCCTATCTCCCCACTCCTGCCACTTTCACGACGCTGCTCATTTAACCTGGTGACCAGCAAGGCCCTCGTGAGGCCTCCATGCTCACGCACTCCAGGTTGGCCCCAAATGATCCAGTTCAACAGCCACAGCATCCGGAATGACCCATGAAGGTCCGGCGTGCAGCTGCGAGCATCACGCTTGGTCACCCGCATCAGGACTCATGCCGGGGACTGAAGGTCTGGCACCTGCGTCCCTAGTGCACGCGACGTTCGGGGTCCAGGCTAGAAGCCCCACCTGTGTTCCTCACTGTTGCCCCTGTGCACCACTCGAGACGGGGGGGAGTGAGGGGCAGACAGGCTGGGAGAGGAGCAGGCAGCAGCTCAGGTCACCCCTGTGAAGAGCAGGGTGACCGCTGAGCCCCCACGTCGCACTGTGAAGGACATTATACATGAAGCCAAAAAATGTGAGAATCCCTAAGAATATCAGAGCACATCAGTCCTCAGTGCAGGCTGCCTGATCTGACCTCAGGGACCCAGCCACTGCCTCACCTCCTCCGTCCCTTCCTCCCCAACTCAGCTACACCTGCCCACCACCCAAGCTTCTTGGGAACACCAGCCACACTCAGTGCTCCTGGTGAAAACATGTACAGTACTTAGGCTAAAGCACCTGAAACTGCTAGTTCAAAAGTAACAAGCAAGAGTAGTTTCCTACAGTTCAACTAAACACAGCTCATGTTGGAAACGTCAAGAATCGGTGTTGGCACAGCCTGCCTCTTACCCAACCACAAGTGACCTCACATCAACTCTGCGACCACACCTACCAGGGAAAGCGGTTCACTTAACCGAACCAACTCAGAAATAAATGGTTTCAAACTTCAGGTTGAAAACCAATCAATCACTATGAAGCTAGTCTTACGTTTCCTACACACGCAAGGCTTCTTTAGAAAGCTACTGCTCCCTAAAATTGGGTTAACAAAAATTAGGAGGCCTGGTTAAGCACGGGATGCTGCACTGCAGTGAGAGCACACGACTGGGCTGTGTGAACACAGCAACGGTGTGGTTAGCAGTACCTGCCAGCTGCCTGCCTACCCACCTATTCAACCACCGATACACACACCCCCATATACATCCATACACACACACATATACATGCATACACACATACATCCACACACACCCATATACATCCATACACACACACACACACATGCATACACACATACATACACAGACACACACATACATGCATACACACATACATATACATCCATACACACATGCATATACACACAAGTATACATCCATACACACAAATAAACACACATATATTTCCACACACCATATACATGCATACATATACGTACATACACACACACATCCATATACATCCATCCATACACCCATACACACATATACATCCATACACACACACACATCCACACATACGTATACATCCATACACACATATATATATACACACACCCATACACATATACCCACACATACATATACACACACATCCATGCATATCCATACACACACATATATGTGCATACACCCATACATCCTTACACATATACATATACATCCGTACACACATGCATATACACATACACACACACACACAACCATATACACACATACATACGCATACATACATACACACATCCACATACATATACATCCATACACACACACACACCCATACATCCATATCCACACATACACCCATACACATACATCCATACACACATACACACACACACACCCATACATACACACCCCATACATACACCCATCCATCTACATCCATACACACACACAGACATATACATGAATACATACATACATTTACAGGTTTTTAAATCAACCTTTTAAAGAAACATATACACATATTTTGAAGGTATTATCAAAATCAAAGCAAATTATAAAAAAGGGAGGTTTCACCTAATCCTAATTATAAAAACAATACTCTTACAAGGACAAGAAAATGATTTTCATCCCTGTAGCTCAGCCCTTCATGGTGATACAACTTAAAACCAAAGAAGTTGTTGAGCCTTCTCTGGTGGTGTGTCGGTGTGTGTGCGTGCGCACAAGACATGAGTCAACATATCTGTGTTCAGAACCCCAGGTCTTCAGAGGATGGTTCTGTCAGGAAAATCCTGGGACTTCGAGGACGGAAACCTGGCATGGTGGTGGCCCAGGGTCCATGCCAGGGACCATGGGGCTCTGTTAGCCATGAGCAGCACCCGGGAGCACCTGTGCCTCCTCCCTTCTTCCACACGGACTTCTCTCCTCTAGGAGGGGCAGGTAGCCAAGGAGTGCCCCCAGGAGGATCCTCCCAGCCACTCCCCTGTGCTCAGCTTAAATGGAGGGACAACTGCAGAAAGGCCTGGGAAGGACAGAGGAAAGGGGACTACGGCTGGGCATCTGAATCCGCAGCAGCGGCACCTTGGCCTGCCACACGGCGTCATTAGCACACACACCCACACGGGAAGGCACCCAGTGGGTGTGGAGGTCTCCATCGTCCCTGCCAACAGGTGGGGGCTGACCCGAAGTAGGGCCTGGGAGCCCAGGGTCTGGCCCCTCTGGCTGTAACTGCTTTGTGTCTCACACACATGGAGCCTGTGCCACTCTCCTCACTTCTCATTCCTCAGCAATGGCCATCTCCTCCAATTACCCTACCCGTCCCTACACAGGAGGGTGAAATGACAGCTTTACAGGGGAGAAATGCATGTGTTACCAGCATTTCTCTAAGTGTTGGACAACTGATCAAGCACAGTCCCATAAAATCAAAACTTTATAGTACTAGGAGTATATTTCGACTCCTTTACTTTTTTTAAGAGACCTAGAGACTGCATG